TTGAGTTAAAAGTTAGACCTAATTGTCAGAGCATCTACGTGAGGGTGTGGTTTAGGTTCCTTTAGCCTGTCAGTAAGCTGTAAGTTGTTTTATGCTGAAGCTGAGCCAAGTTAACTACAGAAATGGAAAACGTCCAGCAGATCTTTAAAATGGCTTCTTGAGTGCTGCTTTTAGTATCAAATGAAATCATTTTGTATGGAACTGGATACCTCCTTTCAAACATCCAGCATTCGATATAATTGTGAGAGGGAAGATCAGGGCTTTGTTTCATGGAACAAAGTTGCCTGCTGGTTCTGTGCTAGTTTGAGGATCATGGAATTTTCATGGATATATTACTTTCAGTCTCAGTCTAGTTTGATTTGTTTCCAGTATAAACAGCATTTTCAATTCTCTTTTCAGGTAAATGCCTCTAATGCAATCAGTGAGTTGGATGAAGAATTTGATGGTCTGTATTCCGTGCTGGATGAGATGAAGGGGAGTATGGCCAACACTATTCAGCAAGAAGAGGCTCATAAAATTCAAGCTCTGCAGGTAACTATATGACTACATCTGTAAACTTTTGCAGCTGAGTAGAAGCAGTTCTAAACTTCCTCTGTTTCTGTTCCTCTGCTATCCCCATTTGTTACACAGCAGTATTGATTTTCAGGATTGTCTTGTGATAGTCCTAGAGCTGGTTGGGGATAAAGTCATTGCCTTTTTCAAGGCTACTGCTGCATTAAACACTGTCATGCAGTGATGAGGTGCAGTTCTGTAAATAGGATTTGTAGTGCATGTGAATATAAGTGTTTGTTTCTTTGCTTCTCAAAGAGAAACAGGAGAAACAGGCCTTAAGATGAAATCTGGCTTATAAATCAGACTTCACCACCTATCCAGCTTTTTTCCCCTTGGATTTGTAGGATGTGTCGTGTATCGCTGTGCACTTGGCAAGCACAGTGAAGCCCTAGTTAGAACACTGTGTCAAGGGTAATCACCTTGATTATATAAGGTAGTAAGTTGTTACAAATGCATAACAGAGCCAGGTAGTTCCTAGGACTGGTACCTTTTAAACTGCTTTTAGTATGAAGACCTCAAATTATTCTTTCTGTTTGTTTTTTTTTTTTTCTTCAGGATCAGCTTAGCCATTGTAATCGTGCCCTAGAGAGTTCTGAAGAGCTGCTGGAACTTGCTGTGCAGTCGCTGGACATAAAGAACTCTGTGGAGCTCTTAGAGGTAGAAAACATTGAGCAGATGTGTGTAAGGCAGATGTTGATACCTGTCTCAGTTTGAAACACCCTTTGCATTACTGTCCTGGACACTGCAAACTCACCAGGTATACTGAAAGTAAGGATAGAGAGGCATATAACAATACAGTTATTGCTCTGAGGAGGACAAGTCGAGCACTAGAGCCTTGAATTTTTATGCAGTTTCTAATAAGATAAGTTTTATCTTATTTAGAGTGAGAGGGGAGGGAAAGCAATGCCTTCTGCTGGACAACTGTCGTTTGGTCCAGAAAGTGAGAGTGAAATAATTCTCCCTAATGCTGACTTGGAAAATGTGTGATGGCCAGCACTAAAAGCTGTGGCAAATGACTGGTTGGTTGCACAGTGCTGTTTTATGACACTTACAGAGTCTCTGGTTGCTCTCTCACCCATCTGTGGGTGACAAGATGTTTGTTCTGCAGAACTCGATGCCGGCTGTGTATCTTAAATTTGTAACTCTCTAGCTGTCCTGAAAGACCCTATGGAACTAGATTCAGTTCAAAACTGAATTCCTCTGTTCCCCAAAACCTTCAGATTCATGTGTGTACTGTGTAGACAAGATCCTGATTTGGACCTTGCATTGTGATAATTTGTACTTCATCAAGGCAGACTTGTAAATCAGGTAACCTGTATCTAACTGGGAGAATACAGTCATAAATTAATAAAACAGTGCTACATATACACTGAATCAGTGCACTAATGCTTGCTACAGTAATCCTGGTGGTAGTGGTGGGCTTAGCCATGCCAAAGCCAAGACCCAATTACTTTTCTTCTTTCTGCATTTTAACGGGAACAAGGACACAAATCATTCTGAAAGAGCGAGGAGGAGAGTTGTCTTAGTGTGTCAGTTCTACCTTTTGGCAGCATGTTTGTGTGCTGTCCTGCTTTCTGTGTGTCAGCTTGGATTTATTTGCCTCGAAGAGCAACAACTCCTAAACTGAGTGTTTTTCTTAGGACTTGGGTTTGAGTTGTCCTTTCTGTCTTGTCATATTGATATATAAAATACTAAACTAGCTCTTGACCTCTGTGCAGGATGTAGCTTTGACTGTACTGTAAGTTGTTTCATTTCAGGTGTCTCTAATGCTTTTTTCCGATCAAATACACTAAGGAAAGTTACTTGAGTGTTTGCTAGGGGGAAAATCACTTCAGATTTGAAGTGTGAAGGTTAAGATACTGAAATCCAATCCAATGAGCTCCAAAATCTAGGATTTGATACTTGCATTACACAACCTAGCATTTGTGCATGTGGATATGACATTTTAAGGTAATATTGCCTTGGCTATTAGGCAGCTAATTCTATTACTCTGCTAGTAGGAATACCAAGCGTTCCTGAAGGGACAGTTCTAGCCCTGACTTTATTTGGCACAAATTTTATTTGGATACTCTAGTAAAACAGCTCAGAAGAAACTAGCATAAGACTAAACAAAGATTATTTTTTAAGCTGTTATTTTTTTTTCTATGTTAAGTTTTTTGAGGCTTTATTTGCTGAGTTGACTTACCTGGAAGTCAAAAGAACATCATTGACAGCATACAGGAGGTTTCAGTGGTTAGGTAGACACTGCTGAGCAGCTCTTTTGGCATGGGCTGATACCCTTCTCTGTCAGTAGCCTGGGAACAAACTGAAGTCAAAGGAGTAAAGCTAGGAGTGGCTTGCAGAAGAGTGTTCACTGAGTCCTGGCTACCACAAGTTTCACAAGACAAGGTTTTTCTTGTGAAGTATCTCTGTTTTACCTACAGTTGTCATGCAGGAAAATCAGTCAGTACTTCCTACAACAACTTTGTTTTGAAGTGGAACAAAGCTGCCTCTTAAGCTAAATTATTTCTAAATACTTGGGTTTTCCTGCTTTCCACTTTGGGAATATATAATTGGTTTTGTAGCAGGGACAACTAAATTTTATTTTTTTTTATTTATTGAGTGTGATTTGTATGTAGTGAAAAATGTGGAAGTTCTCCACTTTTGGCTTCAAACTGGTAAACTAACTGATGTTTGTCTTCCCTTTGAAAGGGAAAATAGTTCAGCCAAATGACAACTGCATCAAAGAGTATTGTTAACTCTAAGCACAGATTACAGACATAACTACGACATCACTACTTCAGCAGCAACATTTTGCCTTAGGTTTGCAGCTCCTCTTGGTGAAAGAGAAGGATTTTTGTCTTTCCAAACACCAGTTAGTGTTTGTCTTACAGAAATGGCCATGACGTATTTCCTGTCTGCTTCAGTGGTATCATTTAAGTGCTGGGAAGAACTACATTCTGTGATTTTTGAATAGCAGCATAGAATCTTTTAGGAAGTACTGCTAGAAAATTACAACAACTCTCAGAGGAAAATTTAGAGCAAGTCCTATTTTATTCTTGCTTATCAAAGCATACATCCTATGGTGTGTAGCCAAACAAGTCAGGGAAGGTTACATGCCACTAATAAACACTTCACAGTTTCACAGAAAATACCATGGTAGTTAAATGTTCCTGACTTGGTCCTGTAGCTCTTTTAAAATGCAATGGAGAGTAACTTAACCAGCTGAGAGAAATCTGAAAAGACAAGGTCACACCCAGTAAGTTGAGTAATTTGGCATTGGTTTGGTGTGGTTCTTGAGATCAATTTTTTCCCCAGGTGATGCAGTGTTGCCATGCTAACCCATGCTATTAACATGCTTAATGGGACAATTGATTTTGGTGAAAATGTTAAAATCATTTTGATCTTCAAATCTGAGCCATAACAGCAGAGATTGTTCTTGGCCTTCTTGCATGTTACTGCCATTGATACTTGCATGGAAATATTAACTACTTTCTCTCTCTTCTTCCTGACATGCATCAAGGCTGCCAGACAGATCAAAGATAGGTACAGTACAAAATCTATCACTGTTGTCTTTGAATTAATCTTATCCTTGAAAATGCACTTACTTTGAAGGGATCATACTCAGCTTAAATGGAATACATTGACTCTTTCCTAAGTGTTTGTTGTGACTTCTTAACTTTTGATACAGAACTAAACTTCTGTGCTGTTCATGTAGTGTTTTTCCTTGCTGACTGTTGGCTTTTTATATCTTTAAATAAAGAGAGAGATTATTTTAATGCAGGGTAGTAGAGCCATGCAGCAGCTGCTATTATTTGCATGTTTTTAAATAGAGATCTATTTATCCATCTCCTTAATTATTATCAATACCTGATGGCTGACATGATGTTTTAAGCTGACTCTGCCTCTTTTAAGTTGTGAGAAAATCTTGTTGTTTGTCTTATTTTTTTAAAGTATTTGAAGATCTTGGTAGCTAATTTTCCTTCAGAATGTGTAAAACCTTGTAGCTGCTACAGTATTTCTGGTGACACCACTGACTAGTGACAGTGAAACTGTTATTTCTGGTAGCTTTTCTTTGAACTGTATCTTCAAACTGTTGTTTAAAAATGAAAATTTTACTGTTTCAAAACATATGCTAGGGCTGGGTTTTTTTCCCTTGGAATAATGTGAATTCTATTCCAAGAGTCTGACCTTCTGGTTCAGAAAACTTGCTAAGATGTGGATAACATTTTGGAAGGCAGGTCACAGGGTATTTTCAGTGTGTGTTGCTCTTATGGACCAAGTAGGTTGGTTTTTAGTGCACAGGTTTTCAAGGAAGGGCCTGATTTACATTCACCGAGGTGCTGTGTAAAATGAGTAAATGCTAGAGAAATTAATCTTTGTTTTTCCAAGAGCAAAGATTTTGTGTCTTTAACAAATCAGATGGATAGTGGATGTGAGTGATGGAAATACTAATACTTTATATCTCTAATAAGCATTCTCTTGTGGTTTCTTGAAATGCCATATCACCTAACCCTCTGTGGTTCTCTTAAGATTGGTGTCTAAACAGAAATTTAAAAACTCTCTGAAACTGACTGCTCCCTGGTGTTCTCTTAGTGCTTGTTAGAGGATTATTGTTTCTTAAGGAGAGATTTAGTCTATCCATCTGGCCAAGCAGTAGAATCTGCTAGGCACCTATACAGAGCTTCAGAACATGCACTCTGTCTTGGGAGATCAGTTGACCTGTCTTTTGTGACAGTTCAGTCTCATATCCCAAAATTGTAATGCCTGTCCCCCCTGACATACATACATACCTTTAATATTAAACTTTATATTCCATCCCCTTCCCTCACTACCAGAAGTTTTGCTTTTCACTGTTCTCTAGTGTGTCTGTGGTTAGTGCACAGTCTCTCTTGCATACTAGTGGAGTATGTGGTAGCTCACAGGAAGTGATAAGTATTAGGTGTTCTAAAGATCCCACACATCTGGAGTATAATATGCATTCAGGTGTTTGCAGTTGACTTTGCTTTGTGGTGTGTATTTCTTTGTAGTTGATCTTTTTATCTTTGAATTAGGAGTGGGGACCCGTGTGCTGTCTGAATCAGTGTTATTCAGATCTTGCTGCAAGGCTAAGGTTGGAAGGAGACACAGTGGACTATCTGGTCCAACCTCCCTGCTCAAGCAGGGTCATCCCAGAGCACATGGCACAGGATTGCATCCAGTCAGTTCTTGAATATCTCCAGTGAGAGGGAATCCATACACACTCTGACAATCTTACAGTGCTCATTCACCCTCACAGTTAAGTGTTCCTCCTCATGTTTAGGTGGAAGTTCTGTGGATTAGTTTCTGCCTGTTGCCTTTTGTCCTATTGCTCAGCATCACCGAGCAGAGCCTGATCCATCCTCTGACACTTCCCTTCAGATACTGATGGACATGGATAAGGTTCTCTCCTAGTTGTCTTTTCTTGAGGCTGAACAGGCACAGCTCTCTCAGCCATTCCTCAGGAGAGATGCTCCAGTCCCCTAATTATCTCTGTTGCCCTTCTCTGGACCCACTCCAGGTGCTCTGTGTCTCTGGAGGAGCCCAGAACTGGGCACAGCACTCCCAGAAAAGTCTCACCAGGGCTGAGCAGAGGGGCAGGATCATCTCCCTTGACCTGCTGGCAATGACCTTCCAAATGTACCTCTGTATTCCATTGGCTTTCTTGGCCCCAAGGGCCACTGCTGGCTCAGAGGCAGCTTGTTGTCCTCCAGGACCCACAGGTCCTTCTCCACAGCTGCTCTTCAACAGGTCAGCCCCAGCCTGTACTGCCAATAGGGTTATTCCTCCCCCCCGAGGTGCAGGACCTGCAATTGCCTCTGCTGAATTTCAGAAGGTTCTTTAGTGCTTCACTGTGTCTAGTAAGACTGGTCAGGTACTTGCATGCTCCAATCTGCAGCTTTAACATTTCTTCATCTGCTGACAAGATCAGAGATAGATATGAAATTAGCATAGTCAGCTTGTTCACTGCTGTGTTTAGAAATGTCTTGAGTCTGCAGTGCTTCAGGTTTTTCATCCTTCCTGATTTTTATGTCAAGTGATAGGAACTTTGGTTTGTCTCTTACCGAAGTTTCTTCACTAGTAAAATGTTTTAAACTCTCCTCTAGTTGCCTCTGGTATTTATTTGCCTAGTAATATGGAAGTTTGCAATGTTATTCTCTGAGACAATCACATTAGCAAAACTTTCTGTTTTGGAGTGTGGTGAATGGTAAACAGTTACCTGTGAGAAAGATGTTTTGGTCTTTGATCAGTAGTTTGGTGTTAATGATAACAGGTTGTCTTATTGCTGTTTTGGAAAATGGCTGTAGGACTTGAACAATGTAAAACACCTTTATGTTAATGCTGCTTTCTTGGCTTTAGTGTCACAGTGGCTTCAGCATTCCGCATCTCTCTGAAACCCAAAGTCAGTGATAGTATGACCCATTTGATGGTGGACTTCACTCCTGAAAAGCGCATGCTCCAGGCTGTAAAGTTTCTGCCAGGTAAAAACTGTATGCAGTGGTTTTAATTTGCTACTACATTAACAACTTTATCCATTTAAACCAACCAAATGCAAGAAAACCACACCTCTTGCCCCTCAGTGAGCAAATTTATCAGAGTACCTATCCTTGTTTTTACTCATTGTATGTTAAACTAAATACATGGAGGGTAAGAGTTTACTAGTTGTATTGCATTAATTTCTGCATTCTAAGACAGCATTTGTGAAAATAATATTGATCTCAGGAGTGACAATGAGTTTTCCAGCCCATGTTTTTTTCCTGAGTTGTCAGTTCCTCTGTACTCTGTGAAGTTAACTGAGGTTTCCCAGGACTGTGCGTGCTAGCTTGATGCTTAGTGACACTCCAGAGTCCTACTCATCTGCAGCAATGTTATGCATGGAAATGTAAACTAGTACAAGAGTGGTGAAATGGTCTGAAATGCAAGAGAGGGATAGTCTACTAGTGCAGTGACGTTACCATAGTACAAAATGTGTATTGACACATCTATTCCTTCTTGACACTAAACTTAGGTGCATTAGACCAGTATGTATCTTTCATGTCTGTTTACTCATACTGCTGTTCTATTTAAAACACTTTGCCCTTAACTGTTACCAAGAACATATTGGCAGGAATAGTGCTGACAGGGATGTAAATTGTTTCATCTCTAGGTCACTAGCCCAAATCTGTTAAGGACTTGGTGGCATCAGTTTACATTTCTGCCTGTTTGCCTTGCTGCAGATACAGTATGTGGTCACAGGAGTGGTAAATGACCAGTGTTGAGGCAGAAATTCACCCTCTAGTCTTAGACTTTAGGAGTTGATTGTTGCTCTGTGTTTCTTAGCTAGGGAAACAGGGAAGGTAAGCTGATCACAGTACACTTGTTTAACAGGAGTAGGAGTGTAAAGATCTAACAGCAAGTGTGGACAAAGTCTTGTATCTAGATAAAGATATGCTTTTGTGTGACCCTTGTTATACAGCATTTTCATTGTCAAATACATAGGAGTTTAAATTATTTGGTCCTTTGGTTTGTAAACAGGAAAATTACCTGTCTGGGTATCAATTTTGCTTTTTCTACTGTAGTGCTAAGCTTTCAAATTACTCAGACACAAAATACTGGTAGCTCAAACTGTTGCAGGCAGAATTGCAGTGAGTATTGATAGCCCTTCATACATCATGAAATACTAATGTCCTAGTGTGGGAAGTTGAAAATTGGTTTGGTGTTGTGGTAATTTGAACACTACTTGCCAGAATCATGCTGAAGGCTTGGTCACCTCAAGCACTTCGAAGACTATCTGGTATCTTATACCATGACAAAAATAATTGGAGTAGGTAGTTATACTTACAGGTATATGTGCTGAAATTCTTGTCCTAGTCTTAATTTTTGTTTTGCCTATTAAGGGATCTTCTCAAATTACTCTCAGAATTATTGTTGGATGACTTTGGCGAATGCATGTAATTAACACTTGAGCCTTTGTTGTAGTTTAACCCCAGCAGGCAGCAAAGCACCACACAGCTGCTTGCTCACTCTCCCTGCCATGGTGGGATGGGGATGAGAATAAGGAGGATAAAAGTGAGAAGTTGTGGACTGAGATAAAGACAGTTTTATAGGTAAATCAAAAGCTGTGTGCATAAGTGAATTCACTTGCTGCTTCCTGTGGGAGAATGAGTGTTCAGCCATCCCCAGGAAAGCAGAAGAGGGACTTGGGAAGACAAGATGCCATCACTCCAAACTTCCCCCCTCTTCATCTCACTGGTTTATGTGCTGAGCATGATGTCATATGGTCTGGAATATCCTTGAGTCAACTAGGTCAGCTGTCCTGGCTGTGTTCCTTCCCAGTGCTTGTGCACTGACAGCTCCCTGGCTGACGGAGCAGTGAGAGAAGTGGGAGAGAACTACTCTTAATAACTAAACCCCCTGTGTTACCAAAACTTGAATCCAAAGTGTAGTGCTCTATAAGCCTCTGTGAAGAAATGTAACAGTCCTAGCCAAAACCGGTACAGGCTTGAATACTTTTGCTTTCAGTCTCTTCTGTGTTGCTTACTTGTTCTCAGACATCTTAAACGTATACCACAGCTTCAGTTTGATTCCTGCTTGGCTTAAATTTCCGGGATGTGAGGGTGAAAGCATGTGTTTCAGTAGTGGTGGGTTAAAATATTTGAACAGATCAAGAGGAGAAGGTGTGAAGTAGTGTGTATAAACCAAACTAGGCCTTTTGCTTCTAGTGAACCTGCTATAGCTAGGAGGTGTTAGTATCTAGATGGTTAAATTACACATCTCTTAGCGACTCAGCCGCAAATAATGTGCAGCTGATTGTTATCTGTCATCATGGAGGGGAATCATGGCTAACAATCTGTTCAAGAAATAGTTGTTTTAACTGCATAAAAGCAACCTGTGTGTAATTAGGACTTGGCCACTGGGACCTCTACAGAATAGCACAGTTAAGGGCTTGGGTGTTACGAAAAGAGATGATTTTTGACAAACAAAATCTGCAGGTCTGTCAGTTCCCCAGATGCATCAGTATTGTACTTTTTTGATGTCCCTGCTTGATACATTGACTTGTAGGCTACTCATATGTCTGTTTACAAGCTTTTGTCAATGCTGAAACAAAGGAAAAGATTTTGCAGATCCTTCCTCTAAAAACTGCAAACAGTAAAACCTCTTTTTACCTCCTCCAGCAGAATTCTGCCTTAAATGTACTTTAGACACTACAAATAGTATGTAAACTCTGGTGCAAAACATTTCCCACTGACTTAAGTGCTCTTTGATTTCATGTAAATACACTTCTATTGTCTATAAGCAAAACTTCAGTCCTTAGTGGATCTTAAGAATTGTTTCCCCTTCTTTCAAGGCAAAAGGGTAAAAAGGAAAGAACTGTGGTGTGGAGAGTGGAAACTATTACACTGTCTGTAGTGATGGAAGTAAACATATACTGTCTGTGGGCTGCAGCTATAGCTACCTCCTAAAGACTGAGAAGTTTGATTCTTAATGTTAGTCCTGTGTAGTGTTTGTTATAAATGTAGGTTAGTATTCTAAGTTCACTCTAAGCATGTCTTTACTTCTTCCAGAAGAGGTCAGCCCAACTTACAGACAAAGATCTGAAAACCATGCTGCAAATTCTGATGTTTATTTCTCATTTAGCAAAACAAATATTCAGGAGAACAAAACAATATTCAGCCCATCCTCTTCTTTGAACTGATCTGTGTATTTGTCTTCCTGCAGTCCCTAAAGCTCCAGAGATAGACATAGCAGCATGTCTGGTTGCAGATAACTGCATAACAGTGTCATGGAGAATGCCTGAAGAAGATAGCAGAATTGATCATTTTGTGCTGGAGTATAGGAAAACCAACTTTGATGGACTCCCTCGACTAAAAGGTGAACAGCACTGGGAAATGATCGACTGTATTAAAGCTACTCAGTATACGTTATCAGGTAAAGGTTTTTTATACTTCATACCCAAGAATGTTGATACAACTCTTTATACTTGGAAGTTTGGCAAAATATCCCTTTTTCCTGCATGTATTGAAGCTTCTGTCATATCACATTAGTCTTGGGTGCTTTGCTTTGTACAATAATAGCTCTGTCTTTTATTTTGACTTTGAGGTTTTGTGAAAAAAATAATCATGCATTAAAGAAAGTTCACACTGATATCAAGCGTGTTTTTTGTAGATTAAGTGGTAGACATCTATGTGGAATAGGTCTTAGTCTTGTAAACATTGTCAGTATTCAATGTAATTTCAAGTTTCTAAATGTTCACTTTTTAGGTTTGAAATTTGACACAAAATACATGAACCTCAGAGTACAAGCTTGCAACAAAGCTGTGGCAGGGGAATACTCTGACCCTGTGACCCTGGAAACCAAAGGTAAAATTGGAAAGGCTCTAACCTTAGCTATAGTGAAAACACATATGTAAACTCTACTGCCTTCATATGTGAAGTTGTGTGTTAAATCTGCTTCTGCATGAGCACTGTTGAAACACATCCTGAGTGGAAAGGAAAAGAACCATTGCTGTAAAGGAATGAGATGATTATTAGCATAAAGATACCTTTTAGCATTCAGACACTAAAAAATGAGATGGTAATGTTACTTTCTCCAACAGAGCTTGACGTTGGTTGCTTTGAATGGGAGCTGACTATGTGCTGCTACATCACTCCAACATCCAGCAAGAGAAAGATGTATGTTGTTGGTGAACAAGTCTTAGGGCATCTAAACAGCTGGTGTAGTTGTCCTGGTCCAATAAGACTCAGGAGTGTTCATTCGATTCCCCCAGTGTGAATTAGGACACAAACAATGTCAAAATACCATTAGGGAGTGAGACTTTATAATTTCTTTGTCTCCCCCTGGAGGGGGAGAGAAGGTGTGATAAGAAAGTTAGAAACAGAAAAAGGAGGGAAGTGATGGCAAGAAAACCTGGAAAAGAACTACTCACAGACTTGAATCTCTGAGTAGCAGGTATTTGTTTATTCAGTGCTGGGCACAAGGGGGATCTCTCCACCAAACTTGTGCAACCAGGGACAAAAACTTCACAGTTTATATACATTAAATGCTCTACATATTCATTATTTCCAGGAATGGGTGGCTATTATTACAATTAGCTCTTGGAAATCATTATCATAATCTCCTCCCTCACCCTCCCCCTTATTTGGCATCGGTCTCTGGGGGTCAGCTGGGGGTCTTCAGGAGGAAGGCTAGTAGTCTTCATAAGTTCAAACTTGTCACCTCATCCCGTAGCACATGCGCATTGTGCTTGGTTTTTTTTCAAGCTCAGCACCCTTTTAAGCTAAAGCAATCTTAAAATTAGTGTTCTATATGTTTAGTAAGATAAAGCAGTATCCTGTAGTGAACTACTATCTCTTCCCTTTGTTCACTTAGCCAGCCTTTAATTGCTTTTTGGGGCCTACTCAGCTGGTGCTTCCTTAAATTGTTTCTTTGGGATCTACTTCTCTACTGTCTTGTATTTGCAGCTAACATACAGTTCAGTGTGTCTGCCTGGTTGAGCTGCCCTGTGACTCGAGTATTCCCCAAGTTTGCAGTCCTTATTAATCGTAATTTAGACACTGGAATGTGATGCCCAGGGAGGTGATAAAATCACTGTCCCTGGAGGTCTGTAAGGAGAGACTGGCTGTGGCACATAGTGCCATAGTCTAGTTGACATGGTAGTGTTAGGTCATGGGTTGAACTCAATCTCAGAGGTCCTTTTCAACCTGATTGACTCTGTGATAAACACCTTGTTGGAGAATCAGTGCTGCAGAGCATGGAAAATAAGCCTTTTGAAGTCATTCATGATTGTAACAACATAGGGAATAGTCTGTAAGCAGTAGAAACCACTGCCTGAATTAATCTGATGATTCTGATGCATTATAAAGGTGATAATATTTACTTTGTACATATATATTACTTATGCTCACTTTGTAAGCTATGTAGGTAGATGGGCTCCTTTATAGGGCTCATTAACTTGATTACAAGCATCAGACTGAAAATCTGATATTTCTATTACGCTGGATAATGCTCTGCTACAATTTTACCTCTGCTTCTGTCATTTTCTATAAATAGCCACTGCTTGGAGAGAGCATTATACCATTTCAGTGTTCTCTATTTTGTCTTGACCAGCCTTTGTGTTCAGTTTGGACAGTACTTCATCTCATCTGAACTTGAAAGTAGAAGATACTTATGTTGAATGGGATCCTACAGGAGGCAAAGGCCAAGAAAAAATGAAAGGGAAGGAAAATAAAAGCAGGTAAGAACTGTTTTGTAAATGTATGGGATACCTCACCTGACAATTAAAGAGGGCAAGGGGGAATTAAAATACTTGAGGACTGTGGGACATGACAAGGATTTTCATTTGGAAACCTCTCTCTGGAAGAAATTTGAACTTTTTGTTATGCCACTTCCCCTGTCACACAGATGTGGAGAGTAAAATTGTGTCAGAATTGTTAAGTAATGTTTAATTATTTTTAAAACACATTTGTTAGGGTATCGTTCAAGGTACTGAAATAACTTGTAGATGTGGTAGATTGACCTTGGCTAACCACCAGGTGCCCACCAAGCTGATCTATTGCTTCTCCTCCTCGACTGGGCAGTGAGAGAGAAAATGTGGTGAAAGTTTTGGGGTCAAGATGAGGACTGGAAGATTGCCCCACAAGTATTTTCACAGGGAAAACAGACTCGAGTTGGGGAAAGTTAGATGGATTTATTGCCAATAAAAATCAGAGTAGAATAATTAGAAACAAAAACCCAAATCTTTAAAATACCTTCCCCCCACTCCTCCCTTCTTCCCAGGCTCCACTTCCTTCACAACTTCTCTACCTCCTCACCCCTGAGCAGCACAGGGGTGTGGGGAATGGGGGTTGTGGTGACTCCATAATGTATTGTCTGTGCTGCTGCTTCCTCCTTATGCTCTTCACTTGCTCCAGTGTGGAGTCTCAGCCAAGGGAACCGGTTCTTCATGCCCTACTCCAGTGTGGGCTGGTCCCACAGGCTGCAGTCCTTCACAAACTGCTCCAGTGTGGGTCCTGCACAAGGCCACGTGTCCTGCCAGCAAACCTGCTCCAGCACAGGCTCTCCATGGGCTGCAGCTCCCTTCGGGGCATGTCTGCCTGCTCCAGTGTGGAATCCTTCATGGAGTGCAGGGTGGCTGTATTTTCACTCCTCTCTTCCACCTCTTCTTGCACAGCAGTTTGTACCTTGCTTAAATATGTTACCCCAGAGATGCTACCACCACCATCACTGATGGGCTCAGCATTGGCCAGCAGTGGATCTGTCCTGGAGCCATCTGGCACTGGCTCTGACACTAGGACAGTTTTTGGCATCTTCTCACAGAAGCCAGCTCAGAAGCCCCTCTGCTACCACAGCCTTGCCATGTAAGCCCAATACAGTAACTAAGGTAAATGTCAACAGGCAACTGATGTAATTTTATGTTTAGTAGCGTTGCAGGTTAGTTCTGGTGAATAGACATCGTTTCTACTATCAGAAATATAAGGAAAAGGTGATTGCTTTGTCCTTTTGAAAAAGCTAAGGTTAAATAAAATCTGTACCACCTAGGTGGTGTTTGAATCTGATATCTCAGTCCCTCATTGATGAGGAAAAGGTGCCAATAAACCAGATAGTAAAAGATAAAGGATCATGAAACAAGTCTTGTGGAAGTGGCAGCCCTAAACATGCTGTTTTCATCTAGGAAAATTACTGAAGTACCTTCAACAGAATTCTTGGTAGATGTAGGTGTGTGCTGTTCTGAATCACTGAACAAATACTGTTGGAAGAACATTACTAGATCAGTCTGCTCTGGCTGAGCCTTGAATATATCCAAGGATGAAGATTGTGTGGATGAAGAATGGGTTAACTCACTGGCCCTCTGTTCCAGGCCATCTTCATGAGAGGGGAAAGAATATCCTGATACCTGACTGGAATTTCCTGTGGTGAAATGAGAACCAGGTGCCTCTTGGATATCAGCATGCATCCCTCTGAGAAAAGCCTGGACTGACCTTTTCTGTTCTGTTACATCATTAAAGCCAGCAATTAGGTTTTTCCTGAAAAACCCATTTGTCTTTCTGTACCTCAGTCTTTGTTGTGTTGTTGGCCCTCCACTGGACTTGCTCTAGTGTGTTGGTGTATAATCCTCAGGAACCCTGACCTGGACACAGGAAGACTTCAGGCTCAGTCTGACAACTGCCAAATGGAGAGGAGCAGTCACTTGCCTTGGCCTCCTAATTGCTGTTACAGGCCAGGCTGTGGCTGTCCACCTCTGCCACAAGGGCACAGTGCACTGTTGTTAGCTTCTGCAGCCCACCAAGGCTCCCAGTTGCTTTTCTGCAGAACTGTTCTTCCCTTGGTTGTCCCTCACCTTATCCCATTGTGTTGATTTCTCTGGTCTGGAGAGCACTATCCATTGCTGTGAGCCTGCTGTTCAGCTGGTTCTCTACAGAGCTTATGGCCCACTATCTTGTCTATATCTCACCTCTTGAGGTTTGGGGAACTGTGGGGGAGTGTGTCAAAAGCCTTGAAGTGCAGGTGTGAACAGTGTCCACTGCTTGGCCACATTGCTGGCCATTGCCTCAAAGACAGTTTATTGACTTTGGGCATGCACAGCTTGAGATAGTGTATGAAGAAATACTTTTCCTACAGGAATATACTGCCAGAAGCATGGCAGAATAACTTCTAGTGTCATTTTAAAAATTGGGATAATACTGTTGTTTAATGACTACTTGTTTCTGTCAACAGTGGCCTGACTCCTCTGCTGAAGAGCAATAGAAGGTGATAATATATCTCTTATTCCCAACAAAGCTAGGTGCTAGATCCTAGGAATCTATGCTACTTTCCTTTGCTTGGTGTTGTGAAAAACAAATCTAATAGCCTTTATCAGCAGCAGTGCACATATGCTGTTAGAAATTATTTTAAAGTTGGACCCATAGAGATTATGTATATATTTTCCAGTGTCTGGAAGACAGTCTTCCTGGAAAGTTGCCTCCTGATGTGTATGAAACCTGATTTGCAATGGTTGGAAGAACATTATTCGTGTATTCTAGTGTTGATACATAGATCCCTGTTACTTGCAGACATACTGCTGCTTATTTAATCTTCTGACACAGGATGACTCACTGCATTTCTTTTTACAAATGTGGTGAAGATTTCGTTTCTGAGAACTTTAAAATAATTTTGTTTTGTTCTTATTTTTAATCTGAAAACCTCTGTGCCTCTGAACTTGTGCTGTAGCTGTTACTAGATGTCAGAGGGTGAGAAGTAAGTGATTTTATATGTTCAGTGAGGATGAAGTTTAACCTGATGGCTTGTGTAAAAAGCTTCATGGCAATTCTAACTGCAGAACCAGTTGTTCAAATGAGAGACTCTTTTTTGCATATATAAAGTTAGGTAAAGCATTCTCCGATTCCTTGTGCTTTTTAGTGCAAATTCTTTTTCATTATCTTTCTGGTAAACCTTCTGTTTGAGAAATTACTTCTCCCATTTTTGCTCTGTTTTGCTGGTTTGGAAGTTATGGGACCAAAAGAAATGCCCAGGTTCCTAATTTCTTCTGAGTTTTGCTCCCTTGTATTTATCTGCCCTGTGGGTCTGTCTTTGGCTTGAGATCAGCAGTAAAGCAAAGCTTGTGTAGGTGAAACAAGCTCTTGAAGCTGTGTGGTGTCAATGGTTCTGCTACATAAAGCACATCAATTTCTGCTAAACCAAGTTTTAGAAATGTCTTGGAGATGTTCCTAGTTGCTCAACTCTGTGAGTCTTACACCTTGGCCTCTCTTTGTAGTTGTCAGTAAAGAATTTCCCTAGCTCTTGCCTTTGTTTTGGTAGGACAGGGTCGCATGTTCAGCTTGGCATCTCAGACTGACCTTTTTCTAGCGGGAGATTTAGATGAGCTTTATCCTTGTGAGTGGCTTTAGTTTCCTGCTAAGAGCATGGTGAGATGTCTCTGTTAGGGGTAAAATTTGGAGCTGGCTCCATATTAGGTGGAAAGAAATTGCAGTATAATTGTTTCAGACAACAAATGTGCTTTTTTTAAGGGTTGGAAACATGTGATGGCAACAAAATGCTCAATTATCTGAGACATTAAACTAGAAGAAAAACCTATGAGTGGTTTTGGATATCCCTCTTTGACTTTTCTTCTCCAAGAGGGAATACATGTTGCTTGGAGTGTGTTTTGTTTGCTGAAGTGGATGAGAAAGCAGAGACTAACTGCAGTTCTGTAGGAACAATCCTAACCATAAAACAATAATATTTGGTCACTGAATAGTGGAAAAAAATGTGGCAGTTATGGCTAATGAAGACTGTGCTGTACTGGAAAATGGGCACCAAACTGACTTTCTGTTGTAGAATTTGCTGCCTTTTCCTATTGGAAGGGAGACTTAAGCACTGGGGAGGAGGGAGGAAGTCTTGAACAACTGTTTTTTGGAACTTTTATGTCAAATATTTAATGTAGCTATCTGAACTGGTAAAGGCTGTTAGATTTTGAGAGGACAAAGCACATGCAGTGGCCATTTACAGACTTGAGGAGAACAAATGCTATTGAGAACCATTTAAAGTTTTCCTGACCTTGAGAAAACACTGGCAATGCACCTGCATTTTTCTTCTGGTGATTCTCTAAATGGCCACATTGCTTTCTGCATAACTCATTTATACTGAACCTAGTAGAAAACTTTCAGCAGCATTTGTTGGAAGTGTGAGTGGATGATGTCTGCTGCACGATGGAATCTGCAAAGAGTGGTGATTCCCCCTGAAATTATGCTTTAATTCTTGGCTTTGCTGTTATTTTTTTTTTCATGCTATCACTTGTTACCTTTTTTCCTTTGGTAAGTAAACTGCAGTGTCCTAAATGTTTACAAAATTCAAAAGCACTTGATGTGGTGCCCGTGCACAATATACATTTACCCCCTTCATGTAAACTCCTGGAAGCACAGTTGTCTTCTAATCACTGTTGTGAAATTTATGTGCTAAATAGTGATGCTAAAGTAAACAACTTTCTTGTCAATGATTTCTTGTAACTGGAATAAAGCAAATTTAGTCATGAATTAGATTTTACTATACTTATGTCTGACAGCTTAATATCACTCAGCTTTTGATCCCTGTGTGACTTTATTTTAACGATGGTGTTAGGCCAAAGGGACATTTTCTAACCCTTTCTGGAATGGCATTTCAGAATAACTCCAGAAAACTTGAATTGTAAAGGAAACAAGTGAACTTCACTGTAGGAGTGGACAGTAAAGTACCACTTAGCTTTACCAAATTGTAGCTGAAAGAGAAGTTGGAGAGAACTCTTTCATGTGTAGTAGCTCTTTTAAGGCTAATGTATGATAGTCTCTGAAATACACCTGAGAAGCAATTTTCAAGTTCTCTTCCTCTGTAATCTTCGTGCTTCTTAATTTTTTGTCCATGAAATTAGACTGTAAACTGCACAGCTATTCCTGAAGTTAAAACACTTTGCTACTAATTGCCTTTAAAATACTAATCAGATGTGATTCCCTGGCTAATGAGGAATACTGCAAATAGTCTCCACTTGGTTTAATGGTGAAATTGCTGGGAGTTATTTTTGAGGGCCTAACTGAGGCTAAAAAAAAAATAATTTGAAAACCTCATTAGGTTATATACACTTATACAACTGAGTTGTCATTAGAGTATTCTCCAGTGTGAAGTATGTTCGTTCAGACTGTGTGTCATACCTTGGCTTTACCCCCCATCCTGTTTCCATTTTCAGCTGCCTTTGAATTTGTTTGTGACATCACTTTGTGTGTTTTTCCTGTCTGTCATCTCTTCTCTCTCAGCCCCTGTGCATGCATGCTGTCAGAGGCATTAAGTGGCTGAACTAACGTGCCATTTCAATAGCTATGTGTGTGTCTTGCACCCTAATTGACTCTCTTGCTGTGTTGAAATCCTGAGTAGTTCATCTCTTCTTAGAAGCTGTGCAGCGTCCCCGAAGAGGACCCCTAACAGCACAAGAGCCTCGTCCAGGGGCAGCAGGGATCGCTTTGCTGGTGAATCCTACACAGTGCTGGGTAAGGTGGACTGTTCTGTTAGAGATGTAATGCTGTGGAAGGGCAGAGGAGGCAGGAATTGGAGGGAGAGTCTGTGGATGTTCAAGGCTGTTGACTTAGCACTGTACTGCCCAGAGGTAGTTCTGCCCATGTCACACTAGAATTTCGTGCTGCACTGTGTGTCTTCAAGTCTGTTGAACTTTATTACAGAGCTCTAAGTGACTGACATTCACTGCTGTTAAATGTAAATTGATGTTAAATGTGTCTTGTCTTAATGAGTGTAGGTAAACACAATCTCATTCTGTTTTATATTTCTATTCTATTGCACAGTTAATTTTTTTAGTCCTTGTGAGTTCAGATCTTTGTATTTCTTCACCATAAGCTGAAACAGAAGAAATCACTGGTGCCTGTAAGGCAGGCAGTATTGTGAGGTGCAGTTAATTATAGCAGTTCATTTCTTTTGGCAGGAGACACTGCTGTTGAAAGTGGACAGCATTACTGGGAAGTGAGAGCCCAGAAGGACTGCAAATCCTACAGCGTGGGAATAACGTACAGAAACCCAGGGAAGTTTGACCAGCTGGGCAAGACTAATTCGAGCTGGTGCATCCATATCAACAACTGGCTGCAAACCACGTTTTCAGCCAAACATAATAACAAAGCAAAGACTCTAGATATACCTGTTCCAGACAGAATAGGAGTATACTGCGACTTTGATGGAGGTAAATTACAGTCTGGGGAGATTCAGTTGAAAATGTGGTTGGTTATCTGTGTCCAGTTGGAGCAGTATAGGGCTAAAGTGCATTACTTCCAGAGTGATACAGTCTTGTATGAAAACACAGCCCCAGAGCTGATTGTGTGCTAGTGCTTGTAAGGTCAAATAACCTGAGTTCATCCCTGTGACAGAGCTACCGACTGTGAATTTTTCAGTCTTGTGGGCTCTATTTATTGTGTTCTGGAAACATTTCCCTGGGAAAGCGTCACTTTTTTTTTTTTTACACGTAAGCCAGACTACGAATTTAAATTCAGCTTGTTTTCTTTCTCTTTTAGGTCAGCTCTCATTTTATGATGCAAACTCAAAGGCACTGTTATACACCTTCAGAACAAAGTTCACCCAACCTGTGCTACCAGGCTTCATGGTCAGTAGCTAAAACACTTTTCAGTTTCTAGCACTGAATTCAGTTTACTGAAGACTTAGTTGTTTTTTAAAGAAGGAAAGTGGAAGCACTGTTTTTGGCTGACTAGTGAATTTTAAAGATGCTTGACTGTTTTCCTTCTTAGTCCATGTGGTGCTTATAGTGGCACTCCTGTTGGAGAACTCTGCAGCTGGATGTCTCAGCTATGTAAAGAGAAGTCATTGGGTATGGTAAATTAATAGCACATTGCAGTAGCTGATGGTCCTGCTGCCATAATTGATCCGAACCAATGCAGACAGGAGTCCAGGATGCTGCGAGCTGTCAGAGCAGGTGTCATGAGACTGAATAATGCCAGATGCTTCTCAGTGGGGAAAAAAAAGACTCCAGCTTTTACCACTTTAAAAGCTCAGTGGGATCTTCTTGCCAGTTGTTTCACTGCTCTGCATAACTCTTCTGTGGCTCTAAACTGATCAGCAACAACTTGCTGCAATTTTAAAGCCTCAAACCTTGCCAGAAATGCACAGGATAAGGATTAGTTGCTGCATATTAGTTTTTCTTTAATGATTTAAGTAATTTAACTTAATTTGGAGGCTATCAGCTGTGTTGTAAGGTGCCATCAAGTCCCTCACACCTGGGGAGATGGGTGCAGGCCTGGGATTTTTACGGGTGTTTTCATGGCTATCTATTTCAAGGTGATTAAAAGGACACATTGTCTTGCTGATCCTTTTCTACATAGGGAACAGAGTAGCTTCAGAACAGTTGGGATACATATTGTTGGGATATGAGTCATATGGGATATCCCAACATATGAGCCAGCAGTGTGCTCAGGTGGCCAAGAAGGCCAATGGCATCCTGGCCTGGAGCAGGAACAGTGTGGTCAGCAGGACCAGGGAGGTGATTCTGCCCCTGGACTCGGCGCTGGTGAGGCCACACCTTGAGTACTGTGTGCAGTTCTGGGCCCCTCAGTTCAGGAGGGACATTGAGGCGCTGAAGCAGGTCCAGAGAAGAGCAACGAGGCTGGTGAAGGGACTCGAGCACAAGTGCCATGAGGAGAGGCTGAGAGAGTTGGGGTTGTTTGACCTGGAGAAGAGGAGGCTCAGGGGAGACCTTATCACCCTCTGCAACTCCCTGACAGGAGGTTGGAGTCAGGTGGGGGTTGGTCTCTTCTCCCAGGCAACCAGCAGGAGGACAAGAGGGCACAGACTCAAGCTCTGCCAGAGAAGGTTTAGGTTGGATATTAGGAAGAGGTTTTTTGTGGAGAGAGTGTTCAGGCTTTGGAATGGGCTGCCCAGGGAGGTGGTGGATTCACCATCCCTGGAGGTTTTCAAATGAGACTGGATGTGGCACTTGGTGCCCCGGTCTAATAACCATGGTAGGGTTGGACTGGTTGATCTTGGATGTCTTGTTCAACCCGGTTGATTCTATGATTCTATAATATGTTAGCCATGTCTCTGGCATTGCTAAGGCTGACTCATTAAGCCAGTTCCTAATGCATCCAAGGAAACATTTGCTTGCCAAACTTGAGGCTATCAGCGTACATCTCACACAGCCAGCCTGGAGTGTACAGGATGGGGTGATAACAATCTTAACATTGCTTGGGTTAGCCTGAACAGGTCAAGTAATAATGACAAGCTGCTTAATTAGAACTCTCATAATTACTCCTAAACGTCGAAATACAGCATTCTTTCATGTAACTCATTTGTAGAATAGCTTTTTTTTTTGGTTCTGTGTTTATGGTGACATAATTTTGGCATGACATGGCAGAAATATGCACTGTTCTCAGGCACTGGAGCACAGTGAGAGCGTTGCTTTTCATTGTCATTCAAAGTACTTGCTGCTGACACACTGTAGTGGGTTGACCCTGGCTGGATGCCAGGCACACACCACTCACTCCCCTCTGCAAAATGGACAGGGGAGAAAAAATATAATGAAAGGTTCGTGAATTGAAATAAGGACTAGTAGAGATCACTCACTGAATACTGTCATGGGCAAAATAGACTCAACTTGGGGATGCTAAGTGATTTTATTATTAACAAAATCAGAGCAGGATAATGAGAAAATAACGTAGACCATAAGAACACATTTCCCCACCCCTCCCTCCTTCCAAGCTCTACCTCCTTCCTCCCAGTGGCACAGGGAAATGGAGAGTGGGGGCTACGGTCAGTTCCTCACATGTTACTGCCACTTCTCTCAGGGAGAGGGGTCCTTCCCCTGCTGCAGTATGGGGTCCCTCCCATGGGAGACAGCTCTCCATGAACTTCTCCACATGAGTCCTTCCCATGGGCTACAGTTCTCCAGGAACTGCTCCAGTATGGGTCTCTTCCTACAGGATGCAATCCAGTCTCTCAGGGGCAGCTCCAGCATGAGCTCCCCACAGGGTCACAAGTCCTGCCAGATACTCTGCTCCAGTGTGGGTCTCCTCTCTCCATGGGTCTGCAGGTCCCTGCCAGGAGCTGCTCCAGCACAGGCTTCCCATGAGTTTGCAGCCTCCTTTGGGCATCTACCTCGTCTGGTGTAGGTTTTTCCTCCATGGGCTGCGGGTGGATCTCTGCACTCCATGAACTCCATGGGCTGCAGGGGGACAGCTGCTTCACCATGGGCTGCACCATAGGCAGCTCTGGTGCCTGGAGTACCTTTTGCCCCCTCCTTCTCCACTGGCCTTGGTGTCTGCATAGTTGTTCCTCTCACATATTCTTACTCCTCTCTTCTCAGGACACAATTACATCTGTGCAGTAACTTTTTTTTTCTCTTTCTTAACTATGTTACCACAGAGTTGTTACTAGTTACTGATTTCTTGGCCTTGCCGCAGTGATGGCTCTATCAGACATGAGGAAGCTTCTGGCATCTTCACACAGAAGATATCCCTGTAGCCCTCCCTCTAGCTACCAAAACCTGGGCATGCAAAACTACTGCACACATTGGTCTTCCAAGAAGTTTTCCTATTAGTAGCAAGTCTTTTAGTGTTAAATTTTAGACATAGTAACAAACCTAAGAGTCACAAAGCCTACTACATGAAGCATCTGAGACTTTGTGTTCTTAAAAATTAGCATGTCTGATTAGAATGTCTTATAGAGTGCTGTGACAAGAGCAAGAGAGAAGACATGCAGCTGCAGGATAACTTCTGTGTTAGTTCCATCGTGGGATGGGTGAAGAGATATGTATGTGCTTTGTAATGTTGATTTTTCTTTTTCCCCTTAGATCTGGTGTGGTGGGCTCACAGTGAGTACTGGATTGCAGGTGCCAAGTGCTGTGAGAACTCTTCAGAAAAGTGAAAATGGATTGAGTGGTTCAACGAGCAGCCTAAACAATATTGCCTAGTAATGTCTGTTAAACATTTCTATTGCTGAATGTTTGGTTGTTTTTTCCTGTGTAGCTGCTGCTCACAGAAGCTTGTGAGCATTGGATTAAACTGGGTTTGCTACCTTCCACTGTTTAGGGCCTGGGTACTGATAGTGCAAAGGTTTGGGGCTAAAGTGTTAGGAACCTATTGGGAATCCAGAAAAACAGTAAAAAACCCGAAGTGTTTCCTATCTAGAAGAAATAAATAAGGGGCTCTAACTATGTACTGTTCTAATACTGTATTTAAGCATTTTATTATGGGCTTGAATATTAGTTTTGTTACAAATGTTATTTTTCTATGAACAATATAGCAAATACCATTTTATTAGCTCTCCTAATATGAATTACTTAACTATATATTTTGTTATTACTAGGCTTCCCACTAGAATTCATGATGTCAGACGTGCATTGATTTGCTGGCCCAGCCTGGCAAAATACCACAGCAGTGTGATTTCCAAAGAATATCACAAGAATCTATAGGCCTGGTATGAATAAACAGTTAGACCAGGCTATGATTGTTTGCATTTCCTGGTATAAAATCCTCTGATGTCCCATGAATAACTCATTGAAAAATCCATGTATGTTGACATTGGCTCCTGTTGGTCACAAATGAGAGGAAGTATAGGAAATATAGAGGTATTTAATGCATTCTTATGTCCTCAGTGGTGTTGTGGTATCCAGCTGTTGAACCAAGGAATATTTTGGGAAGAGGTTCAGAGACAAAAGATCCAGAGCTTTATTTGCAAGCTCTACAGCATAGTACTGCTGTCTCAGAAGCACTCAAGTTTGGGTCCTCTCCGGGCTTTCCTGTTGCTAGGCCATGGGTGTGTGGCTATGAGATTGGCTCTCAGAGGATTGTGCTCTAAAGGATCTCTTGACAGCATAATCCCTTCCCCTTTTTTTAGGGCGAGCAGAACATAGAAAGAGAGCAAATGCTTTTTCAGCTGGCATCCAATCTGCTTCTGGACCAGGGTTTTATGTCTTGATTCACAAATCCATTGAAATGTTGAGCTAGGGTGTTCTGTCACTCTGACTCCTGGTTGGAAGCTTAGTAACAATAACCAAATGATTCCTATTAATGGGAGAGCTAAAGGGAAAAAATGGTGTTATATTCTTCGTGGAAAATCCCAGCTTGTCAGTGAGAATTACTGGTGTATTATACACTGTTTAATTCTGTTTTCTTCCCTCTAATCAAGTCCAGGAGCCTGGAAATGGTTTTGAGATACACACTTGAATCAGCTGTTTCCTAACTAAGATTCCTTCCTGGTGGTATCACCTGAAAACTGTTGTAAATTCATGCTGATAGGGTCCATTATGAATTGGCTCCTTTCCTGCAGGGCCAATGTACATTTTCTCTTCTATGTATCCTTTTAGCCCATGGAAACACAAACATCTAATCATGTTAAATCTTATTATTATTATTATTAATGGCTCTTTCCTGTCCATCCCAATTTCTCAAGAAGAGAAGTTCCTTGAGACAGCTTCTAACAAACTGTCTATGATATTCAGTGGAAAGTTAAAGTTAACAAGGAAATGTAAGTAACTGTTCTAGAGAGATTTGTTTCTCTTGAGAGTTGAGCCTTTAATGTTTATTTCCTATCGGGAGCTTGAGCATCTCTAACTATTTGCATTGTGAACAGTTACCTGTAGTCTCTTTTGCAGAGGGAAGTACAAAGTAAGTTTTTTAACTGTTGTACCTTCTACCATTTCAGTGGTTTGGGTCTCAGCACAAAGATACTCAGAGGTGACATAGTTCATGGTTAACAGAATCTGTTTCATACGTTATCTACAGATGTTGTTATTATCCAGATAGTCTCTGTATAACATTCTTCTCTCCTCTGTGCTGCAGTGGACACCTGACTGGGAGTTCTAGGGGATCAGCTGCTATGAATTCAGTTTTGAGACTTGTTCTAGCCCAGGCCTCTGTTACACAGGCATCAGAACAGGCTCATACCTCCTCACACCACTCAGCCATTGGCTTGATCCTGGGTGTTCAGCTGCGGTTCCTCTTTCCGTTTCCCTTTTTGGAATGAAAGGGGATGTTTACAACAACTCAGTGTGTAGTGAGAACGAACCATGAGTAAATCTCCAACACAGAGAAACATTTAAATTTCGAACATTTTTTCTTTTTAGCAAGTTGTAGTGCAACCTGCAAAGGTAAATTTGATATGCACAGTGTAAAAATGTAATTTTTCTTTAACATTTAGTTAGCGGAAAGCTTGGAGTGTTTCATACTGTGACTTGTGACTTGCAAGTTTTGGTTTAACTGATGTCCTAGGTGAACTTAACACGTGACTTTTTACCCTTACAAGAATGGATTTGTTATATAATAGTTTGCACAGATGTTGAATTTTTGCTGCTAACATCTAGTCCAATTGTTTTTAGTAAATGGGGATATGAAGAATTGCCTTAAGCACTTTAGAGACTTTTTTTTTAGACTGTTTTTTCTGAACTAGTGTCTCTCTAGCACCACCACCACAAAAAGATGAGTGACCCCACACTACTTCCAGGGATGTTTTGTTGTAGCTGGTGCAAGGTATGTACCTGCAGCTGGAAAGGGATACCTGGAACCTTTCCCTGTGTGAATCCAAGGACTGGAGGGGTTGTTCTTTGGTGATGGATTAGACCTTTGGAAGGTCTGTAGTTCAAGTCACCAGGCATGTTATCCTTACTGTTAGTATTCCCTGAGCCTCTCTGCTGTGGAGCTGATGCTATGTGGTGGCTCTATAGACAGGTGTTTTCTGCCCTATGACCAAAAGGAGATGTTTAATGTTGTTAAAATACTGATTGCTTGTCTTTTGGACATAAAATAACTTCAGGATGATTCGTGAGGAACTAAAGTTTCCGCTTGAGCTCTTAATCAACCAGATGGGCATAAATTCTGTTATTTCTGTGAAAAACTTGTAGGAACTGCAGCCAGGAACATGCACTCCGGACAGGATGATGTAAAACAGCATCCAGGGGATAGGTGCTTCTGCAAACACAAAATATGCATGGCAGGGGTGGCATCCTCTAAGCAGAAACCGCAGAGGCCAAGCTACACCTCCTCCTTCCTCACTCCCTGTTAAATCTGGGGGATCAAACCGGACGAACACGGAGCTTTGTCAGTATTTTTGTGCGATGTATTCCTGTCGGATGGACACTGGGTGTGGGCTGCAGCTTGTTGACCACGGCGGTGAGCTGCGCTGACCTCCCTCCTCCTGCTGGCAGTGTTCTCCGTTCAGAGCTCGGTGCTTCCCT